CAGGATGAGGTATGCCGCCGGGTCCCCTCCTCTCTCCTGACACTGTCGGCGCTCTCAGTCCATGACTGAGTCCCCAAATTGTTAGAGGGGGTGACACCAAAATGACTGCCAGTCATTTTGGTGTCACCCCTCCAATGGTGTCACCCAGATGCTGGCCGCACCCCCCTTGTGAGGCCACTGAATCTAAGGAGCATTCTTCCCACTGACCACCAAGGTAAGGACCATTCTTCCCAATGACCACTATTCTAAAAGGTGCCCATACACTGCACGATTCTCGTATGAGAATCGGGGGGAAATCCCGCGATCGTACGAGAATCGTGCAGTGTGGATGAAGACGTGCGACCGTTTCTACTGTACGGTCGCAGGTCTTTTGTCTAAGGAGCATGCTAGAAAACCAGCCGAAAATCTTACGATTTTCGGCTGGTTAGAACGGTGTTAGGGAGACAAATGCCGAACGGGCCGGTGTGCGCACACTGCCCGTTCAGCATTGCAGTCATCGGAAGCTCGCCCCTCGGGGGGGGCGGGCTTGCAATGATCGCAAGTACGGTCTGCCTGTCCAAGATGGTCTTGCAATGGTTGTAATGTGTATGGCCACCTTTAGGCTCATTGCTCTCATTGACCATCAATGTAAGGAGCATTCTTCCCACTGACCACCAATGTAAGGGACATACCTCATTCCTCTCACTGATCACCAATGTGAGGGAGATTCTCCCCACTGACCACCAATGTAAGGGAGATTCTTCCCACTGACCAATAATGTAAGGGGCATTCTTCCCACCGTCCACCAATGTAAGGGGCATTCTTCCCACTGTCCACCAATGTAAGGGGCTTTCTTCCCACTGACCACCAATGTAAGGGACATACCTCATTCTTCTCACTGACCACCAATGTAAGGGACATTCTTCCCACTGACCACCAATGTAAGGGACATTCTTCCTACTGACCACCAATGTAAGGAGCATTCTTCCCACTGACCACCAATGTAAGTGACATTCTTCTTACTGACAGGTACTTATGTAGTGCTGACAATTTATGCAATTCATTACATACTACACATTCACGTGGGTTCCTGCCCTCAAGGGGCACTTATTTCATATGCATACAGGGCCAACTTAGCCAGGAGCCAAGTGACCTACCACCATGTGTTTAGAGTGTAGAAGGAAACCCACGCAAGCACAGGGAGAACATTCAAACTGCTTGCAGTGTCCTGACCAGGATTCGAACCAGGGACCCCCAGTGCTACCCTAATTGGATGCAGTCACTGTTCGGCCATCGATTTTCCACCTGGCTCAACAAACTTTGATTGAAAAACCTAAGGAGACAGGTGGAAAATTGATGGCCAAGCAGTGACTGCATCCAATTAGGGTGGCACTGGGGGTCCCTGGTTCGAATCCTGGTCAGAACACTGCAAGCAGTTGTGTCGACAGGGTGGTGCAATGTGATACCAACAGGGTCAACCGTGGTTAAACATTTTTGGAACCTGTGATTTCCTCAAGCTGTACAAAGCAACAGGTTATCTGTACCTGTCTTTCACTCTCCCACCCTCCGTTCAGCCACCAGGAGCCAAGAGCGGCTGTGTAAGCTGCACGTTGCCAGAGTCGCAGCTTACACAGAGCTAGGAACTCCACTTTCTTCCTCTGCGCCAAGCTAGGAACTCCACTTTCTTCCTCTGCACCAAGCTAGGAACTCTACTTACTTCCTCTGGGCCAATCAGCGCTGTCACACGGCACATAATGGGCACATCAAGTGTGCAGACCCATGAATCCAACGGAACCCAAATGGATGGCCGAATAATGACTGCATCCAATCAGGGTTGCACTGGGGGTCCCTGGTTCGAATCCTGGTCAGGACACCGCAAGCAGTTGTGCCAACAGCATGGTGCCAACAGGGTCAACCATGGTTAAAATTTTGTCCTCTGCGGCAGGAACTGGACGAAATTCAAGCCGTGTATGGCTACATTTACTGACACTTCAAAAATGTATCAAATCTAACATTTCTAAAAAGTATTGTGCGCTCTTATCTGTCCCTGCTTCCCTCCACTTTTCTATTATATCAAAATGACAATGACAGCTGCAGAGCAACCTTCCATCTGAAGATGAGCAAGTCGTGTGATGGCAATGAAATGACAACAACATTAATGCTCCATGATTAGACGCAGGAACGGCACATGGAGGCGCACCGCACTGTAACCCGTGAGGTGTCGTTCCCGGGAAATGGAAATGAGACGGAACAGCTTGTTTGCGCAATCACAGAACTGTGGATAAGGCATAATGAGAAACGGGAGATGCCGATGTTTATAATGAAGACGCGGGGAGACAATAATGCAAGAAAACAACCTGGAAATTGATTTAATTTTAAACCGTCAATAGGCAGATGACGGCAATGAATTTACATCTGACTTTTCCTACATCAGCCCTATTCCTCATTTTCGGGAAGGACGCCGCCGTTAATCAAATCAAGTCTGGCGGGTACGATTAGGTTCTGGTTTTAATGCGAATGAGTGGTAAATGGAGTCATCAAAAACAAACAAGAAGAGGAGAACATTAAATCATTTTTTTTAAAGCCGAACTCCGAACACAGAAACTTTACTATACTAGGGATGCACCGATAACGTTTTTTCGGTATCGGGTACCGACATTTTATTTATGGTGCTCACCAATACCGAATACCGATACCGGAAGTCCCATTAAGGAAGCCAGGTGTCGTATACTGACTCGCTACCCGGCTTCCTGATTAGCACGGAAGCCGTCTCCATGCTCCCTCAGGGATGGTGGGCGCCCCTCATAAGGGGCACATCAGATGTGCAGACTCATGAATCCAGCGCAGCAATGGTTGGAATCCCTCCTAGTAGGCCCTGCAGGTGTGCAGACCCATAAAGCCAGCGCTTGGTTGGCGGGAGGCCCTCATAATGGGCACAGCAGGTGTGCATACCTGGGAACGCAGCACATGGATGGTGGGAACCGCTCATAATGGGCACAGCAGGTGTGCAGACCCAAGGACCACAGCTCAGGGATGGTGGGAGCCCCTTATAATCTGCACAGCATATGTGCAAACCTATGAACCTAGCACAGGGGTGGCGGGAGCCCCTCATAATGAGCACAGCAAGTATGCAGACCCATGAATCCAGCACAGGGATGGTGGGAAGCCCTCATAATGGGCATAGCACGTGTACACTCCTGGGAACTCATCACTGGGATGGTGGGAAGCCCTCATAGTGGGAAGCATTCATAATGGGCATAGCAGGTGTACACTCCTGGGAACTCATCACTGGGATGGTGGGAAGCCCTCATAAGCAGTTGTACACTCCTGGGAAGTCAGAGATCTCACAAACAGACTCCGCAGTGTAGTAACAAGGGCGTTACTGCAACACAGTGTGTTGGTGTGCTTGAACAGCAAGACACCTGCACTGCAGGTGTCTTGCTGTATAGGTGTCTCATACCTTAACACAGCACATAAATGCCAGCCTAAGAAACCGTGGGGTGGCTTAGCCCTCCAGCATCTATCAAAAATAAGTTTTAGGTGGACTGGCCCTTTAAACAAGAAGGTTGGTAAAAACCAATAAGAAGAGTTGTCACCCCACCATCTCCTATAGAACTTTCTGGGATGCTCTGTAAACAAACCAAAATGTTTTATTCTATGGTCCTGGAACACGGCGAGTCGTCATCCTTTAATCTGCCTGTCACAACAATCACACAACTAAATTAATTAGCTTTAATTATAATCTGTGACTCATTAATCAGCCTCAATTTCATTCAGAAACACGGATCCTCTGAAAGCTAAATGTAATAATAATAGCAGTGATGTATCGTCATGCTGTTCTGGCGCATCGCTCTCCACCGCATCGTGAGATGAAATTCAATTACGCCCCATTATTTCCTAACATTGGAGCTTTCACTGGAACAGTTTGCTTCACTCGAGTCTCTCTCTGTGCGTGCAATCTCATCGCTTTCCTTAAAGCCGGACACCAGCCAAGAGACGGCTGCATTACCTGGCAAAGGGTTTGTATTTGTGTATATCCAGTCCTGAGATTTATACAGCTCTGCCACACAGTGCAGCCCTGTCTGGCAGGGCAGGAGACCTCCTGCTACAGGTAAGTAATACTTACAGGTCTTGTCCCTTCCCCAGCCTGTGACTGGACAGTAAAAGGAGAAGCAGCACAGTGATGGGATAATGTGCACATCAGGTGTACAGACCGGGGGAACCCAGAACAGGGATCGTGGGAGCCCCTTATAATGGGCACAGCTACTGTACAGACCCGGGAACTCAGCACAGGGATGGTGGGAAACCCTCATAATGGGCACCGCAGGTGTACAGACCCGGGAACTCAGCCCAGGGATGGTGGGAGCCCCTCATAATGGGCACAGCAGGTGTCCAGACCCGGGAACTCAGCACTGGGATGGTGGGAGCTCCTCATAATGGGCACAGCGGGTGTACAGACCCGGGAACTCAGCCCAGGGATGGTGGGAGCCCCTCATAATGGGCACAGCAGGTGTCCAGACCCGGGAACTCAGCACTGGGATGGTGGGAGCTCCTCATAATGGGCACAGCGGGTGTACAGACCCGGGAACTCAGCACAGGGATGGTGGGAGCTCCTCATAATGAGCATAGCAGTTGATTTTTTTTCCTGCTGCAGTTAAGTAACACTTACAGGTCTTGTCCCTACCCCCATCCTGTGACTGGACAGTAAAAGGAGAAGCAGCACAGTGATGAACTCATTACTCTGCTCTATCCTCTTATTGGCATTATTCGTATTAGCACATGAGCCTGACTGGCTCCATGTGATGCTTCTCTCTCCCAGCCTGTTGTACATAGACTGCAAGAGGCCGACACCAGGTCAGATTCAGGTACTCACACTGCTTACATTTACAAAAATACATTGAATGATGTATTAATGAATGCAGTGCTGCATTAATTTGTGTCTCTTATATCTGCCCGGAGGCAATACAAAAACAAAATGTAAAGAAGTGAGTCAATCTTATTTTTTTTTTCATGGGTTTTACTAATATTAGAATCAATAACTCCGGGTTTTGCATTAAACTTCACTGTCTTCAACCGCGCTCTCTCTCTTCTTTCCACCCTACAAGAACATGTGAGATGGCCAGTTAGGACAGTATTTAATGGGATGAGTAATACAAATTTGATGTAGAACTAGGTGGGATAGACTTCCCTGAAGAGATGAGTCTTAAGGGATCACCTAAAGGCAGTCAGAGTGGGAGATAGACGAACAGGTTGGGGTAGAGAGTTCCATAGGATGGGAGAGGCTATAGTGAAGTCCTGATATACTATTAGTAGTATAAACACAACCATTTTTATTTTCCGGAGTCCAACTGTAACATAGTTTTATTTCCTGTTATTCCTTCCAGTATACGGCCTCATTCACACAGCGTAGAGTGGGGCCGTACAGATCCGTGAGGCATGCACGACCATATCGGGCCGTTCCCGGGAGGGCCGGGTGCTGCGTGTGATTGCACGCAGCCGCCTGTGCTTCTCTATGGGAGGACGCGGCCGTACGCTGTCATACACACACCTGAACTGCACATATGTGTGGGTGTCAGTGCATCCTGTCTGCGTCCGAGTATGTACACCGTCACCCGCAGGGATGTGCAGCTTAGGTGTGCGTACGGCCGTGTCCTCCCACAGAGAAGAACCAGCTGGTGCGTACAATCAAAGGCAGCCAGGGCCGGATTTACTCTCTCTGCTGCCCCAATGCCAGGTTCCTCAATGCGCCCCCCTGTATGCAGGCCGCATAGAAGTGTTCTCAGTGATATAGCCGAGATCACTTGTGCAAAACAAGCATCACCTTCCCCGTTGTACATTTAGCCCTGCTTGCCCAAAGCAGGGCTCAATGTAGAACACAAATACCCGCCCGGTGCCCGGAAGTGCATGTCTATTCTCTGCTGCCCCAGGACCGGGCCTCGGTTGGCCTTGTGGGAAATCCGGCCCTGCACACAGCACCTGTCCCTCCTGGGAACGGCCTCGATACGGCCGTGCACGTCGCATGGATCTGTAACGGCCCCGACTCTACGTTGTGTTAATGAGGCATATCCGTTATTTTCCCAACTTCCAGGCCAAGCTGTCAAGCAAAGGTGGCAGCCACAGAGAAGGACAGAGATAAACCATAAAGCACTGAGGGGAGTTGGGTTTAGTTTGTTTCTTAAAGAAGAACTCCGGGCAAAACTTTTATTAACCCTTGCAGTGGGGCTGCCCCCGAACTGAAAGGGTTAACAACTCGTTTGCGTCTAGGGAGGAAAATGAAAAAGTTATACTCGCCCGATCCTCTGAGGCAGCTTGCTCTAACATCGGTCCTTCCACCCTTGCTTCCCCTCCGCTGCAGCAGTCCAAGGTCCAGTGAGTTATCACGTCTAATGCAGTGGGGGCGTGAGGGCGCTAAGGGACATACTACTGCTGGATCGGAGGGGAAGAGAGGACTAGTCCAGCAGCCGCCAGGTGACTCAGAGGTTTGGGTGAGCATATCTTTGTTATTTTGGCCCCTAGAACAAAATAAGCATTTAGCACTTGCAAGGCTTAATATAGGTTTTGCTTCAAAGTCTTAAGACCCATTCACACAGGAAGTTCTGGAAATCTTGCGGCAAGAACCTATGGGTGCTTGTGGCAGGAATCCCGCTCAGATGCGGCCGCTGTACATGCAGCCTTGCACAGACATCGGCCACATCTAAACAGGGACACCTGGCATTCCTGTTGCATAGGTAGACATATAAGCTGCGGAAAAATTTGGTTCGGATATTTCGTTATTTCAGGATTCGGGTCCGAAATTCAATTCGGTTTGGGATTTTGGACGAAATCTGAATATTTGCTAGTTTCGGATAAGTTTACAAACAAATATTTGTTACGACTGCCACCGAAAACCATATACAGATATTAATACTAAAGCTGAATCTCCCAGACCGGAATAGCATTCGGGATCCGAATTTCCAAATGTCATTTGGGTCCATATATGTATAGGGGTCTGGGAGCCTTATACATATATTACTAAAGCTGAGGCTCCCAGAACCGAAGCAGCGCCCTCAGGCCGCCTGACTTGCCTTGCGGTAGCGCCGGGCCTGCATTCGGCAGCTCCTGAATGCAGTTTGGAAATTTGGATCCTGAATGCCATGCGGTTCTAGGAGCCTCAGCTTTAGTATTATATGTATATACTGTATATGGCTCCCATGTTGCCGTAACGAAAATTCATATTCAGATCCATTCGGATGCATTAAACTGAAAAACACATCTGATTGGCCAGAAAAGTCACATGTCTCATTCAGTTTAGTTTTTGAATGACATTCGGATTCGGACACATTCAGATGCATTGGGATTCAGATGCGTCCGGAAAATTTGTACGAATTTTGATTCGGAACTAAACGAATCGCACATGTCTATCCATTCATGCCGCAGGAATGCCAGATCGCCCCATGTGGATGAACCTTAACACTACAAGTCCATGTAAGACTCCCCTGTCCATAAAGCGACAACACTGCTGTGTGATTCGACCGTTGAATAAGCAGCGTTGTCACCCTCATGATGCCACGTGCTTGTATGAATCCTGTTTTTTTCCCCTTAGACATGATTAGGGATTCATAGGGAATACAGGGTCACCTTTATTACCATCACCCACTTTTCAAAGTGAACATTCATTATGTAAAGTGAGCGGCCTCCAATTCATTAGTAAATCAACCCCATTTATTACCTTAGATACTGGTATGACCTATCAGACTGCAAATATTGTATGAGATTTTTATATGCATGTAAGATATAGCGGGGAAAAAGGAAAGGAAAGATAAAAGGTTAAAGCTGAATTTTAATCTGCTTCTATTTTTAATTTGTCAGTCAACTGGGTCTCTGTGCTTCTCTGTGCAATGCAGGCAGTTAATGGCTGGTGGGAAGGTGGGGCCAGCAGGGTGCTGTACACATCTTCCTGAAAACATCACAGCACTCTGCTTCAGTACTCCTCTCAGGAGCCCTCAGCCCTAATGCAGCAGTGGGCTGGCTCTTTCGGGAGGAGTTATAATTTAATGCCTGGGTATCAGGGCTGGATTGTACTCTCTCTGCTACCCCAAGGCCAGTTTCCTCAATGCGCCCCCCTCCCTGCCAAACCCCCCAATTGAGAATGCCAACCAGATGGCAGGGGCGGCAGGGTTTTTTTTAAACTTGTTTTATTTTTCTTTATTATTTTTTTACTTTTTTTTTTTTACATTTTTTTAATTTACGTTTTTATATATTTTTTACCTTTTTGCATTTTTTTTATCTTATACATTTTTTTACTTTTTATAATTTTTAAATTTTTATAATTTTTTTCACTTTAGCTATTATTTTTTCTTATCTGTTACTTATTTTTTTTAACTTTCACTTGAAGGATACCTATGGACAAATTAATAAGGAATTCAGGAGCCAGTCTGTCCAATCCAGGAGCCAGCAACATTGACAACAACTAGAGAAAGCCTCGAAAGTTTGGCGCCAGCTGTAATATTTAAAGAGCATTGGTGACCCAGATCCTGGGATTTGTCCAGCCCTGCCTTACTAGGACCAGGTGTCCTTCCCTAGCACCCCTTTGAATTTTATAGCACCATATTGCCAAATTTTGTGGACCATCACACCCGGCTTGTTGGATATCCCATTCCAAAACCGTAGGCATGTCCAGATCTGCTGTGGACACAAATTAGTAAGACTCCACATGCTTGCATCTCATCTCTACTGTCTTCTCCAGCACTTTCCAGACAAAAGTCTTGCGAGGGTTGTAAAGTGTATGGCCACCTTTAGAGAGACTGAAGGAGACCTTCAGGTGCCTTCTATTAAAAGTTAGCAACTCTCCACTATTTTGTGCTCACATGTAGAATTTAAAGGTGAGCTCCAAGCATGCAGATAAATACACAGATGGAACATACACTATATTGCCAAAAGTATTGGGACACCACTCCAAATCATTGGATTCAAGTTTTCCAATCACCTCCATGGCCACAGGTGTATATGATCACGCACCTCGGCATGCCGACGCTTCTATAAACATTTGTGAAAGAACGGGTCACTCTCAGGAGCTCAGTGAATACAAGCTTGGTACCGTGATAGGTTGCCACCTGTGTAATGAGTCGATCTGTGACATTTCCTTGCTACTAAATATTCCGCGGTCACCTGTTAGCGGTATTGTAACAAAGTGGAAGCAACTGGGAACAACAGCAACTCAGCCAGGAAGTGGTAGGTCACGCGGTCAGCACATGCTGAAGCGCACATTGCGGAGAAGTTGCAACTGTCTCCAGAGTCAATAGCTACAGACCTCCAAACTTCGTGTGGCCTTCAGATTGGCACAACAACAGTGCGTAGAGAGCTTCATGGAATCGGTTTCCATGGCCGAGCAGCTGCATCCAAGCCTTACATCACCAAGTGCAATGCAAAGCGTGGGATGCCGTGGTGTAAAGCACGCCGCCACTGGACTCTAGAGAAGTGGAGACGTGTTCTCTGGAGTGACCAATCACGCTTCTCTGTCTGGCAATCCGATGGGCGTGTCTGGGTTTGGCGGTTGCCAGGAGAATGGTACTTGCCTGACTGCATTGTGCCAAGTGTAGTTTGGTGGAGGGGGGATTATGGGAGGGGGGGTTGTTTTTCAGGGGTTGGGCTTGGCCCCTTAGGTCCAGTGAAGGGAACTCTTAAGGCATCAGCATACCAAGACATTTTGGACAATTTCATGCTCCCAACTTTGTGGGAACAGTTTGGGGATGGCCCCTTCCTGTTCCAACATGACTGCACACCAGTGCACAAAGCAAGGTCCATAAAGACATGGATGGGGGAGTTTGGGGTGGAGGAACTTGACTGGCCGGCACAGAGTCCTGACCTCAACCCGACAGAACACCTTTGGGATGAATTAGAGCGGAGACTGCGAGCCCGGCCTTCTCATCCAACATCAGCACCTGACCTCACAAATGGTCCAACATTCCCATAAACACACTCCTAAACCTTGTGGACATTTTCCCAGAAGAGTTGAAGCTGTTATAGCCGCAAAGGGCGGAGCCAACTCAATATTGAACCCTACAGACTAAGACTGGGATGCCGTTAAAGTTCATGTGCGTATAAAGGCCGGCGTCCCAA